GCGCCTAGCCTAAGGGAGCCGTAGGCCAAAAAGTGGTCAGCTTTTCCATGGAGATCTTGCACTGTGGGAACTGTCTGTTTATTTAGGGTGGCTGCTCAGGGGCTGAAGCAGGAGGTCCGCACTCCCCTGAAGCCAAGCGCCCCCTGAAAGCTCCAAATGGTTTCCGCAGTTACTTTTCAGATATATGTTTGCAGCAGTGGAAAGTATTTGCGAATTTGGGCTAGAGTGGGAGAGGTATGCCTGGGGTTGAGGGCCAGGGTCTTACAGAAGTAAAGAGAGGTGGGGTGAGGGGGGGGCGCGAGTCAGGGGAAGAGCCTTTGGGGGTGCAGAGACGCTGCACTGATGGTCAGCTCACCGATTCTGACCCCTGTTCACTCCTTGGGAGTAACACACGCTGTGCTAGGCTGGATTGTCTAGAGAGACAAATTCAGTGACACTCATAGATGTATAAGGAAGAGCTTTACATCACGAAGTATGTATAGATCAAGAGGGCAGCCCAGCCCAGTCCAACTCAAGTCTCTACGTCTAAGGCTAGTTCAGAGGTCCCTCTTCAGACTCATGTAACAGTGCCCAATGCTGCTGCAAGGTGAAACAGGAGGAACACAGGTCTGTGGGGTAGTCACGTGGATCTTAGGCTGGTGGGTACATGGCAGGGCTCTGGCAGCTTTCAGGGTTGGGTGGCCCATATGGGGTCCCCCATTGAGTCGGGCAGAGAACTCCAGCAGGCTTGAAGGTAGAGGGACTGAGAGAGAAAGGAGAGAGAGGTCCCTAGCTTCTTTCACTCTTAGAAGAAGGCCATACCCCTAAGGAGGCATCATCAAGCTGCCACTTGATTGACAGGTTGCCCTCTGCCCCTAGCCAGGAGTGTTTAGTTGACATTATAGCTGACTGCCACAGATGGGCTCCTTTGGGTTTTCAGCCGCTGATTTTCTGGGAATAGATTGCCTGGTCTTTCTTCGCAGGCACCTTCGGATGGATTAGAACTCCCAACCTGCCCAGGGCATTAACTGTTTGTACCACCCAGTGCACACAAAAAATCATTGGCACCAGGTTGATGCTGATGCACAGCAACTTTATAAGACAGAGAAGTACCCCACCCTCGGGGTGCCTAAGCCTATAATCCTTACCACCTTAGAAACAGACTGCCACATTTTTCTTCCGTGGCACAGCTGGTGGATTCAAACCAACAGCTTTTAGGTTAGGTTAGCAGCCAAGTGCTTAACCACAACAGCACCAGGGCTCCTTAACCAGGGCACACCAACCCGCAAACCAAAGCCACTGCCAGCTCCCCCTAAGGCCCTCTCTCCCCGCCTCCCACACGTACTCACTCACTCACTGAGTAGGAGTTACTGACGATCCAACTACTTACAGAAATGTGAACTGGGGAGCCCAGGGCCAGCAAGCAGAGAGCAACGCAGAGCAGAACGGGCATTGGCTTCACACCCGGGTGGGAATCCCGGTTCTGCCACTTGTTGTGGGACCGTGCGCAAAGGAGCCTTGGTGGCGCTGCTAGCTGCAAAGTTGTCAATTCAAATCCATCAACCACCCAGCAGGAGAGAAATGAGACTGTCTACTCCCTTAAAGATGTACAGCCTTAGAAATGGTCACTATGAGTCGGAACCAACTTGATGGCAGTTTGGTTTGGTTTGTGAACAATTTAGTGAGACTCGGTTTTTTTAATCTGGGAAATGAAATGGGAACTGTAATTGGTGGATGGGGATAACAACCTACTTCATGGGGTTATTGAGAACCCATAGGCCCTTGGGGTACTTCATCTGAGACCAACATCCCTTTGTAGTATTACAGAATGCAACCGCAATGCCCAGGGAGGCCTGCTGTTCTAGGAAATTAAGCAAAGTAAATTAGAAACTCTGGATTTACTTAGATGGTGATTAAATAACAGTTTAGTTAATAGGCTATTAATGGTCCCCAGGTGTTGGTGATTCTAAGTATTTGCTTTTGAGAGCAGTTACATAATTTCTTGTTATTTTAATAAAGTTTTTTTTAAAAAAACAAAATATTGAAGTGTAACAAATGATGCACATAGGGGCTGTGTCTTGCAAGGATTACATGATATAGTGCATATTAAGCTCTTAGTACAGTGCCTGGCCCAATTAAAATTGCTATTGTTATCAGTGCTGAATTGGTTTGAGACTACCAGCCACACACAGGGCAAGAGCCTCTTTGTTAAGCTCTTTGTTAAGATCCCCACACGGCCGCCACCACCTAGTGGCAGTTAGTGGTACTGTACACATTGTGAGGAAGCATCATTAAGTTGCTTGGAATTAATTACAAACAGTCCCAGGGTTACTAATCTACAATCTATGTACACCTATAGTTACACATCAACCGCCATGAATTCCATTAGATTGATAACATTAAACATTTGAGGTACATAGCTGGTTCATTATACAAACAGCCGCTGTATTGCAACATGCATAAATATACTCTATGTTACGTATGTTAAGGTGTATCTGGACATGTCTCTTGAGGACTTTTTATGCAACGAAAGGCACACTATATACTATATCCTAAGACATCACACAGGAGCCATGCCTAACTGTTCTGCTTGACATGCAAATAAAGATGGATTTAGAAATGGAACTTGTTTGCAGTCTAGGGGATATCTATACATGTAAACTTACTCCCAGGGGCTGTCTTCTGTCAGGAGGTGGCTTGTTGCCTGAGCTCTGGAGTTCATATGTCATTATGCAATAAAGTCTTACACCCCCACAATTGGAACAAAAGTTAAAATATGTAGGTTAACAGTAAGCCAAGGGTCAGTGGGCATGGCCATTTGCCGCTGGTAGGAACGTAATTCAGCATGCCCTTGCTGGAGGGCAGATTGATGGTGTGTAACAAGTGTTTGCATCTTTGTGGCAACTGTACCTCACTAGGGATTTACCTTACAGAAGTAATCAAAGGTGGAAAAGGGTTTATGTAGAAAGAAGTATATATATGGGGGGGGGGGAATGAGGTTTGTGGACAAATGAAAAGTTGATGGGTAGTTGTCAGTCTCATAATAGAACAAAATGGGAATTTTTTTTTTTTCATTTGGGAATCAGACTTCTCAGACTTCATAGCATCTCAAAAAGAGCAGGCTCTAGGGAGAGGGTAGGCATATTGATAGCCGCTGGGACAGAGGAGTGAGGTGAGGGTTAGATCGGAATCTACTCAGGCTGTGTCCTTTAGGAATAATAAGTGTGTCATTAAGACACGATAAAAACTACAGGAAGGAAAGTTTGAACTCATGTTGTCAGATGGAACTGACACAGAGAGATAGTATGATGAGGTTTGGGGTTAATAACTTTTAAACAGGGGACTATTGATTAATGAGGAATGGGAATATTGATGAAATTGAAAATTTAGCGTTGGACCTATGGAGAAAAAGAGACCTGGCTTGGGTATGAGAGCAGCATGGGGTTGCTTGAAGCACCAACTACTCAACTCACTGTTATCAAACCCGATTATTCTGACTCATAATGAACCTCCTCTGGGTTTCTGTAATTAACTCTTGATGGAAATAGAGAGCCTCATCTTTCTCCCATAGAATGGCTGGTGGTTTTGAACGGCTCACCTTAAGGTTAACAGCCCAATGTGTAACCTCTATGCTACCAGGGCTCCAGGTGGAAGCATAGGCATAAGCAATGTGAGGATGCAAACAGAAACCTCCCACTGCAGGTCTAAGTCTCTTGATCCTTCTTGATGCCGCATGTCTGCAGTATGAATGGGAAGCAGGTCCTGCTGGGATAGCAGGGGATGCTTATTACATCAGTGCAGGCAGGCAGTCCATCTACAGACGATTCTTATTTTCCCTTTAATGATAAGTGCATTCGCCCTCCCTTTGAAAGAAACAAACAAAACCCCACTGGCTTCTTGCTCACTCATAGAGACCCTACTGGACAAAGGAGAGTTGCCCGACAGCGTTTCCAAGGCTTCAAATCCTTACAGAAACAGACTGCCCCCTCTTTCTCCCAAGGAGTGGCCGATGGGTCCAAACTCCCAACATTTCTGTTAGCAGCCTGCCTGCACCTCTTCTGACCTCCCTATACATTCTTACAGACATGGCTAGGAATGGGTCTCAGAGACCGCCTGCACTTCATTCTAACCTTAATGTTTGGGACGAAGCAGTGCATAGCTGGAAACACTGATGGGGTTCCATTGCCCTCTACCCGAATCCTATAGTCTGGCTTCAGTTTCCAGGCTCTTGGGTCATCCCCTCCTGTCTTGGGCATAAACACAAGGGCTCGAACATCATAATTGTGAGGTTGGTGCAGCTTCAGCATTATCTTGGTCTGCTGATAGAATGCCTAAGAGGCTGAACTCACTTCACGGCACCCATCAGCAACAAGTGGAGTGGCAAAGTCCATTGCTGCTACAGTGGCCCCTCCCCAGAACAAAAACAAATAACCATCATCCTCAACAGCCCCCTGGGGAGTGGATTTTGATTCTTGGCCACCCCACCTGTGCTCTGTGGGGCTCAGCCTCGGTGTGCCTAGTTCCCTTCACCTCTGCAGGTGCATACATGATGGACCCAGAACTGTTCATGTTGAAAGGGGCCCCCAGACCGTAGGCATCTTAGTGGTTTTGGAGATGCAGAAGTTGAGGTCCATAACAGAGCATGACTCGCCCGGGTTTGCCTGTGCCTCATCCGTGTTTGGGAGCACCGTGACAGCTCTTCAGCTTGACAAAGCTTTGGGAAGACTCGTTAGATTAAGAGCTGCCTAATTGTATAGATTTGGGGGCTCTCTGTTCTCCAACACGAAGCAGAAGTAAGTGAGGGTGTCACATCCACATCCAGCATCTTCTGCTCGGTCTCGTGTTGTCGTTAGGTACCATCCAGTCAGCTGTCACGTACTAGACATGAATACGGCTCAGACCGAGAATAAGGGACCCTGGATTCCCCACGAGGGAATCCATCCAGAGCTAAACACACACGCCCTGCTGACAGGTTTCCTTGCTGGGGGTTGGTAATGACGGTGTCCCACTTCCCTTTCCAGGATCGCTAACGGCCAGGAGAAACACAGTGGAAAATGCAAAACAACGAAATCATAAAACCTGCCAAATACTTCTCAGAATTGGAGAAGAGCATCCTGCTTGCGCTCGTGGAGAAGTACAAATATGTGCTTGAATGTAAGAAGAGTGATGCGCGAACTATTGCCCTCAAGCAGCGCACCTGGCAAGCCCTGGCCCACGAGTACAACTCTCAGCCCAGCGTCTCGCTGCGGGATTTCAAGCAGCTGAAGAAGTGCTGGGAGAACATCAAGGCGCGGACCAAAAAAATAATGGCCCATGAACGGCGGGAGAAGGTGAAGCGGAGCGTCAGCCCCCTGCTGAGCACCCACGTCCTGGGCAAGGAGAAGATCGCCAGCATGCTGCCCGAGCAGCTCTACTTCCTGCAGAGCGCCCCGGAGGAGGAGCCCGAGTACCAGCCCGAGCCCGCCGCCCAAGGTACGGGCGCCCACCCCACCAGGGTGCATGCTCTCCCTGGGATGGTCAAAGCCGTTGTCTGCGGAGGGAACTGACAAAGAAACAAATCTTCGTATATAATTGGCCTTTTTAAAGCAGAGAGCTTGGGCGGACTGGAGTGCTGGGGTGGGACCTGGGCGGGTGGGGTGAGCACAGGGTGGGTGGGGTGAGATGCTATTTACATTCTTATGATCGAGCTCCTAGACAGTCCTGATGTGCGTTCATTGGCTAATCTCAACCTGCCCCTTGTAGTCTAGAGAATATGTTTGAGAATTTGTAGTCATTCTCACCATCTTACTTTTTTTCAGAAAAAACAAAGTTTTTTGGCAGGGCTTACGTATAAAGCGCTACATGAAGCCACTTGAAAGACCACATTAAAAAAAAAAAGATATTTTGAACCTAAAAAAAAGTACACTTAGCAGTCACTGACAAGGCGATCCATTATAATCCTGTTGTGCGAAATTATGGTTTGTGTCAACTTCCAGAGAAATTCTGGAAAAAAATTACTTTTAATGGACCGCTACTGTCAAGTCAGTTCTCACGCATAGCGACCCTGTGTGGCATTTCTTATCATCATGGGAACAGATAGCCTCGTCTTTTGCCCAAAGAGCAGCTGGTGTGTTTGAACCTCTGGCCTTGCCGTCAACAGTACTACCCTGACTCAACCTCGCCTCTAAGACTAGAAAGAGAAAGCTATCCATCACATACTTCTTAGGGAAGGAAGACTGTCATACAGTCAAGGATATACTCATTGCTATAGTGTTAACCATGGAATTACAAGGCTGTGTCTACACAACGGGAGGGTAGAAATTCGTGTAGAGCCATTGTGAGCAATTGCTGGCTCTTTCAGGACTGGAAGTGGCCACTTTGTATAAGGGTCCAAGGTAGCTGCAGCTGACATACCTTGAGGCAGAGGGAAGGTTCTCGGGTAGACAAGAGGGCTGCTGATAGAACGCTCATGGAAGTCCAAGGACACAGCCAGCACTAGCCCAGGAAAAATTCTGGTTTGCGCCTTGCGGGATGACACGTTCATTTATCAGTGTCCCTAGAGCAGGTTGAGCTCTGAGGGACTGGCTCTTGTTAATTAAAAGTCACAAGAAACTGTCTAGAACCAAGAATAGCTGTGCCATCCATGTAGAGTGAAAAAGATAATTACTGCGGGAACTGAAAACCTCCGTTCTTGATTAGCACCGCTCTGTCTCCTGTAGGCCGATCAGCCTGGGATGCGAAATCATGATCAAAAGTGTGCTTGCTGATTGTCAGCCAAGGAGAAGCTCCAGGGAGCCGGCTGGCTGACCATGATGGGTTAATGCCATGGGCCTCAGGCCTGGCTTCCCACCATAGGACCTCAGGCCTGACTTCCCACGATAGGACCTCTGCCTGGGATTTGAGTCCCAAGCCAGGGCACCTCCAAGCAGACAGTGTTTGTATGGACACAGCCAACTCTCTGACCTCTCCC